GTACTTAGCAGGAACTAAGCTCACTGCATAATTCAGCAGCTCATCAAGCCACCTTTTAAAACACTAACTTGAATTAATTGTTTCCTGTATGACTGTATCAGTATTGCACATTGTTGTGGAGGGATTTTGGCCCACTGTTTTTTGCAGTGTAGCTTCAGTTCACTGAGGTTTGTAGACATTTGTTTATGTACAGCAGTCTGAATTTCCCACTAAGCATTTTGATAAGCTTGAGGTCTGAACTCTTACTGGCTCATTCCAGTAGCACTGTTTTCTTTTTAAGTCATTCTGCTTTACATTCTTCCTACTGCATGATATCATTTCAGACGAGCCTTAACAGTCAGACACATGGCCTCACATTTGACTCTAGAATACTTTAGTATACAGAAGAGTTCATGGTTGACTCAGAACAACCAAACCCAAGTCATCACCCCTTCAACAACATGCTTTGTTAAAGATGCAACTTTGCAAACCTGAGCCATGCTGTCACGTTCATTTTACATAGAAGAGACCCTGGCAACCATTTAACACAGGTCATGCTACTGTTAGTGCTTGCTTTCTTTGCAGTTTCTCTGAGCATTGCACAGTCTGACCTTGAGATGAATTCATTGGGAAATCCACTCCAGGAAAAACAATTAATGTGTGCTTCAGATTTCACTAGTGCTTGCCTGGTGGAAGCATCCTCTTTCATCAGTCTGTCATAAACTCCCTGCCTGCTTGCAATCAGCCTTTACTTTACTACCATCTTGTGGCTGTAGTTGGCTATAGTCACAGGAAGCAGGCTTGTCTTTGACCCTACTGAGATCCACAGGACAGGGCGTCCCGTCAACAAAGGCTTAAGCTTTTCAAGCTGAGATGCAAGCAGGTTTTTTTCTGCTTGCTTTGCACGTGCACATTGTGGATCAACCTCTGGTCCTTGATGGGAGACAAGTAGCTGCTGGCTCTGGGGAGTGTCACAGTTAGTGCAAAAGACTCAAAAGCTCTACAAGACTTTAATTAAGACTTCTGTATTCATAACAAGTAAGAATTTATTGCTAATATTACATAATAATATTATCAAAATATTACCAAAGCTGCTGTCCAAACAGTGGTTTTCAAGTCTTTTTCTTTTTGTCAGTTTAAGGCCGATTACCACAGGGTGGTATGACAGGTAAGATTGACTGTTCTCACGGGTTGCTGGCACATGTTCACTGAGGTTACTTTCATGGGTGTATTCCCAGATGTATTTACTGGGAATGCTTTTCTTCTGCTACTCAGGCTCCAGGTACAGACAAAGTCTCTCCAAATCCACATGTGATTATGTCTTCGTGAATGCAAAAGCAAGAACAAGTGATTAAAACGAGTCTGAAAGCTGAACTTTTACAAGTCATGGAGACAACCCTGTTAAAACCTCTGCAAAAGCTTCCACCCAGATAGAAATCCACAAATGTTTCTTTTGTTTAATAAGCAGGGAGATTTAAGAACTGCACACATTCATATCCACGGATGACTTCATGGGTATCATAAAGAATGAGTTAATGGTAAAAACGCCACTGCAATTATTTTTGTCCCTCAAGTCTGCTTTGGTCAGGTTTCCCCTGCGTCTTTGTTTGAATTCCTGATAAACGACTTTAAACAAAAATAACAAGAATTTCATGTTTTATTAGAAAAGCAAGCAACTTTAAAAGACAGGGACTGACTCTAAAAGAAAAAAGAAATACATCTCAACAATGAAACAGATTCGTGAACAACACAGGGTCAGATACATAATTAAATCAAATGTCCATCTGAACAGGAACATCTTTGGCTGTTTTGTGTTTTTTTAAAGTTACCTCTAAATCATAAAAACCAAGCTAAGTTTTTCTTTTCTTTTCTTTTCTTTTCTTTTCTTTTTTGAGCCACTACCCCAAAAGGCCCAATCTCGATCTGTCCTAAAATGAGTCCTTGTGTTTCCTTACTGAACTTATACATAAACTTTATGCCTTCAGTATGTATCTACAATGTAGAAAGTAGTAAAATAAAGAAAATACATTGAATGAGAAAGTGTATCTAAAGTTGGTTTGGTTTCTGGATTATTTAAGATCTCAGACGTTTTCAGCGCATCATGACACGAGTGGTGCACACGGGGACTGACACAACCAAGTGGTTTCTTGAGTAATGATTTCAACATGTGGCAAACCCCTGACTTTCTCTGTCTATGTGTGGTTTGGATCACATAATTATTATCACTGGTTTTCGTTTCTACTAGACATGGACCAGCAAACTTGGCTTACAAGCTGGATCCTACCATAGATAACAACACCAACACTTTCTCTCCAGGCTGGACACTTCTGTTACAGTTTTTTTTGTTTTCATCATAATGAGCCTTTATCTTAGTCTGTGCATGCGTCATATTTTCCTGTGCTAACTGACATGCAAAGTGGAGTCTCTCGCGAAGACTGCTAACCTAATCGAGAGGAAGTTAAGGAAAGTTATTCCTTGGTCAGAATTTTGGGAGCCCAAAGGTAGAAAACAACTTAATCAGGTCCTTTATAACAGTTTTGGCTTGTAGTGTACATAATGGGACAGCTTTTGGGAATCTTTTCACTGAGCACATAGCCATAAATGTTTGAACAATATCAACAACATCATCAAATTTACACGATCGCTCAAGAGTAACCACACAAATAGGGAACACACTTGACACAGGGAAAACTCTCCCACCAGCCGAGTCATTTCCCAGAATAAATGAGACTCCTTTAATCAGTAACTGGTAGGTCACGATGACCTTCACTCTATTGCTATGGGTGAATCTCATACCAATACGTCTGAGTTACAAGCAGTTTTATCCAACAATGGCAGGACAGTGTGCAACATAAATGACTGATGCACACCTGTCAGACCTGTTGAATAGAGAAATCACCTAAACAAAAGCTGTCTGACAAAGTGAGATAGGCTCAAAGATTGAAAAAAATCAACACATCATGCCACAATCTAAAGAAACAAATGAGACATAAAGAGACTGATGTCTATCAGCCTGGAACGGGTTCCAAAGCCATTTCTAAGGTTCTGGACTCCAGAGAACTACGGTGAGAGCCATTATGCACAAATGGGAAAGACCTGGAACAGCAGTGCATCGTCCCAGGAGTGGTCAACCTACTAAGATTATTCCTCACTGGGCTCAGTTAGGTCAGAGTTCACAATTCAACAATAAGAAAGAGACTGGGCAAAAATGGCATCTACTGGAGGATTCCAAAGAGAGAACCACCGCTGAGCAAAAACATCAAAGGTTCGTCTCATATTTGCCAAAAAACCATCTTGTTGATCCCCAAGACTTTTGGATATTCTGTGGACTGACGCTATTTGAACGTTTTGCATCTTGTTACATCCGGTGTCAAATTAACAGCATTTCATAAAAGGAACATCTTGCCACCAGTCAAACATGGTGGTGGTAGTGTGATGGTCTAACGCTGCTTTGCTGCTTCAGGATCTCAGTAAGTTGCTGTAATTGATGAAACCATAAATTCTGCTCTCTGCCTGAAAAGATTATTTCTGGCTATCAGTTTTAAAAAGAACAAAACAAAAAGGTTTTGGAATGGCTTAATCAAAATCTGGACTTAAATTAGATTGAGATGTTTTGGCATGATCAGCCAGGACCTTCATAACCAAAAATCATTTCAACGTGGCTGAATTAAAACAATTCCTGCACAATACGGTTACTGTCACATATTTCAGGTTGGTTTGGATGGATTTTTTCCTTTAATTAAATAGATCATCATTGAAAAACTGCATTAAGTGTTTGTCTTTGTCTATTACTAAAATTTATTTGAGGATCTTAAATAACATACGTGTGAGAAATATGCATAAACCTAAGAAACCAGGAAGTGGGCATACATTTTCACAGTATTGCAGACCACAAAAAACCAAAAAAAACCCAGAGGTCCTCATTCTTTTTAACGCTGGTCTGTTTAATGCTTGTAGACTTGCTGAAATGAAACTCATTAGATGAAACACAGTGACATCCTCTACAATACTTATATTTTCTTGTAAGCCCCTGTGTTGAAATCCTACTTGGTTTTTGGACAAAGAAAAGGTCTGGGGGAATATGTTCAGCTCAAAAGGTCTCTCTAGAAGAATAAATGAACGAATGAGGCTCCCCTGTCACCACGAGGAGCACAGACCTTGTGGTTTTAACTGCATAGTTCCTCTCAGTTATTTTGTACACGCACCTGCACAGTCCTGTATCTTTTAGGGTCATCTTTTTTTTGATGGGGAATTTCCCATGAAGCTGGAGTCTTTCAGTAAATTTTTGGTTAATTGCAGATTTTTGTGTAAATCAGTGAAAAAATGTCCTCTTCCTCATTGAAGCCTCTCTGTGAAGGCTCTGCGCTGGCAGACCTTCACAGAGAGGAGGAGGGACCAAACGCAGACACTTAGAACAAATTATAATTTAACAAGAGGTGAGCCTTTATTTGTGGCTGGGGAAAAGGTACAAAACAAAAGGCAGATGGAAAAATGTGGATTCATTGTAACTTTCTGTCAAGTAGTCACACTGTTCTGATGGCAAAGGCAATAATGGAGGAGCTACTCATTACTGAGTTCAGATCTCAGATATGTAAAGTCCACAGAAAATCGAATTCCTCAAAGAAAAACCACTTTTGGTTTCACTGCTTTTTTCACAAAGCACATCACGTTGCAAAACCAGACACTGACTTTAGCTGTAGTCAAAATATACGCAAGTGACAATAAATATCTTTAACTCCAACTTCCAGGTCAGACACTTCAAATTACAAATGTATGTGATGCACATGGACACAGATTATGTCTCATTACACCTCTAAAATATTATCATTGGGTTATTCAGACCATGTTTAGAAAGTCTACAAATCATGCTGGTAGGATGACAGTAGTTCAGTGTCTGAGTCTCCATTTGGGTCAGGTTTGATTTCTTGGTTTAAAAAAAAGCAACCAGATTACATTTTATTCAATTAAATATTTATTTTCCATAAACCACAATTATTCAACTTACATAGTTTCCCCTCATTATTTCCCCCCACTCACAGTTGCTCTGAGCCCAACAGAGGGACCCAGGCCACAATCTGAAAACCGCTGATTTACAAAATTAATTATCCACAATCATTTATATGTAAAAAAAAACATGAAATTCAAACCGTGAAAGTGACATGAATTTAAACATGTTCATGTCAGTTCAATAATTAAAAAAAGAAAACACAATATTTGAGCTTAACTGTGATGGAGTTATATATCATCTATTTTTATACAAAGCATTTCTAAATATTCTGCAGCGTCAGTGCCAGTGGTTCTTTTGTTGTACCTTTACGTTATAATTCACTGTTACCCATCTTTCTCTGAGACACAAACAAGCACCGAGGAGTGAAAATAGACTGAGTTACCACAAAGCTTGATCTTCCGCACTCTGGTGCAGAGTTTAAATGGTCTCATCTCGTCTTCTTCTTACTTTGTTGTGCAAGCGGTTGTTCTGGAAGAAAAACATATAGTGAATTGTGGGGCTGTTGTACATTATTATACTATGATTATTAATATAGCCACCAATGGTCTGTGCAAGCTCTGTTTGCTGAGGTTCTCTCTTTTCCTCTTTTTTTGTCATTAGTCTATCTTCCTAAAAGATAATGTCTGGCCAGCAAATTTTTATACATTTGGTGGTCAGACATGTTGTAAAATTGGGCAATGCAAAAAAAGAAAAGAAAAGAAAGAAAAAAATCAGCTTTAATATGAAATTTGTTTCTGGCATGTTGCTGGTCCAGCTGTACAGTCATTTATTGTAATACGTTATTATTCTATTACAGTGATGTGTGGTTCTACTTCTGTGGTTTTAGACATGCTTATACCTTGATGACGATCCAGATGAGAGAGGCGATGAGGATGACAATCAGCACACCAGCACAGATCACCACATAGACCAGGACCATGGGCGTGTCACCCTGTGATTGGTCACACTTAGGCACTGTAGGTGAAGGTCTGTTTTCTAGAAAATATATTTAGATATTACTTCAGTGTTTTTATTGTGAAGTTGCAATTAAGTCTGTCTGTAAAATATCTGTCCACTTCTATTTTTATGTTCCTACGAATACAGCAAATACATTTTGACAGCACTGCCGGCCACACAAAAGAAGAAGTGCTCAGTTTCTGTAAAACAATTTAAGAACATGTGTGAACTTACTGACTCACTCACTTGGTGGATTGTTGCACATATTGTACTCCTGCACAGCTTTTGAATAAAACAAACAAACAAACAAACAAAAAACACTCAGACTCACCTGTCACCACCAGCAGCACAGACCCATTGCCTCTTGAGGTTTTGAGCTCATAGTTGCTGCTCACTATGTACACGCACCAGTACGGTCCTGTATCATCCAGGGTCAAGTTTTTGAGGAGAATATCCACATTGGGGAGTTGCCCATGAAACTGAAGTCTGTCAGTAAATTTTTGGTTAATAGTAGATTTTGAATCTGTCAAATAAAAAATGTCCTCCTCCTCATTGAGGCCTCTCTTCAAATACAGCATCTCCTGATTGGAAGCACTTTTGCACTGGATGGTGACTTGCTTTCCAACTTTTATCCGTATCACCTCATAACCATCTGCATAAAAAAAGACAATACTTACAATCATATCTCACAATACAGTTTGGTCAACATGAATGAACTCTTCCTCCTTACATCATTAACTGTAACACACCTGTCTCAGCCTTACCTGCAGCAGTCCTAGCTGTGCCATAGAGGCAAAGGATGAGAATGAAGAGGCAGACAGCAGACATGCTGACAGTCAGTGTCACTGAAGGCTCAGTCAAAGTCTAACTATTCAACAGGAAATGTGTGCATGTTTTACCCACACCACCTGACATCATTTCTAAAAATACTTTTCATACACAATAGTGTTTGTGGGTAGATTTGTTACATATGTTGTCAGTGGCAGGTCATTAAAATAAGACTGAAGATCCGATTGGTTACACTAGAAGTGAAAGTGGATGTTAGGCTGTCTGTGCTTTTCTTTTGTGCTTTTTACTTGTTAATTTTTTAGAGATTTGGGACATTTTTTAGAGTTTGGAGTAAAGCAAAAGGCCAAAAAAGGAGAAACAGTGTCATGTAGTGATAGAAGCACAAAACAGGTTTCATGCCATTCTTTCAGTTTTCACACAAGGAAAGCAGTTCACTGGCTCAACACAGCTCTACCCAAAGAAAGGCATTAGGCAACTCTTGAGTAAAAGTCAGTCTTACCTGCTCTGCTTGGGGCTCCAAAAGAGAGACAGAGGAGGGTTATCAGCTGTAACCAAACGACAGACATGTTGACACTGATAGTTATGTTTCACACAAAATCTAATTCCTTAAAGAAAAACTGCTTTTGGTTTCACTGCACGTGACATTGTGAATCAGATATTAACTGGTTTCGCAAGTAAGCAAGAAAAAACAGACCAACTGATGGTTTTTTTCAATGTGTTAAATTGTGTTATACTGAATTGCTCATACCTCATATTTGACATACATGAACACAGACCATGTTTCATTAAAGCTCTGAAAAATATCATCATTGAGTTATTTATGGGGGTTTTATTTCTATAAATCATGCTGGAAGGAGTTTAGTGCCCACAGAGGAGCTTGTGCATCGCCCTCTAGTGGCACAAAAACTAACTTTGTTAACTTTGGCACAAGCAGTAATGCTGAATTAGAAGTCTTGCTTTCAAAATCTGAAAGTATTGTGCTAGCAAAGACCTGTTGATTCATCTGCTGTTCACTGAAATGGTCTCAGAGGATGGGTCGTTGTTAAGAAGTCATTTTTAAGAAAGTGAAACAGGGAGAAAAGGGTGACGTATGCCAAATTGCACAACAACTGGGCTGAAAATCTGCTTGAACAGGTCTTATGGATTAATGACTCCAAATTTGAGTGTACTGAGGTCAGGAGAGAAGTGCAACAGTGAGTGTTTTACAGTTATCTGTAAAAAACCGTCGAGGTTCTGTCTGGGCTGCATTTCAGCCAATGATGTTAGGGATTGATTGATCCAATCATGAACACATGAGATTTGTTTCATCATGCAGTACCACCTGGAAAGCATCTGATTGGCCTTCATTTTTCAGTATTCAAACTTGTTAGAATTATACAGTCTTGCCTGTTTGCCTTATTCATTCTATTTCAGTGTATGTTTGCACAGGTTTCAATGAATCACCGATTTCCCATTGTCCAAGCAAAATATAAAGAAATTAGTTTTCTATTAGCATTTTAGGTGAAATGTTGATAAGATCCTTTATTCTGGATTTATACGCACCAAATGTATGTTTTACAAATCATTCATTTAAAGAAAAAACAGACAAACATTACTCAGTCATAATTTGAAGACATGCTTGTAGTAGGTTTAATATTTTTGAAGTTGGTTAAATGTTTATTGTCACACGCAACAACAAAAATGATTTAAAAAGAATGTTTTGAACATCCTGACTGTCTTTGAAGTAACCGTGTCACGCTCACACTGTCAAACCTTTTTCAAAGGAACAGCAGATTATGTTCACTTTAATTCAGAAAATCGACAATGGCAAATTAATTATTTAAAAAGTGCTTTAAAGCCGACGTTTTTAACAAGCAACAAACAAGATCCTGCCGTTAAAATCCCCACAGGGGCCTCAGTGCAAACCACAACCACACTGGGAAAAAAATGGTTGTGCGTATGGGAGCTCGCCCATAGACCGTTAAATCACAGGGACCGGAGTATGAAGCAGCAAAAAGCGTTAAAAGAAAAAAATCTAACATAGATATTAAAACAGACATATCCAGCCACGTTTTTCAAGGACAGATGGAGAATCATCATTAAGTCCTGCTGCCAAGCCTGTCAGCCATCCCAGGGAGAGTGTAAGATATAAAAAGATGACCTCAAAAAGCACTGACCTGAGAGAACTGTAGGCTCAACCAGTCAATCAATAACTACAGAAAACAGTCCCTCCCCTTTTTGCTCTGTCTGTTTCTCCTCAGGGACGGGATAAAAAAAAAGGTCCCTGTCCACCCCATCACTCTTTTCTCCATCAGTTCCCTTCCTCCAGTCTCATCCAGTTAAGCAGGTTCAATCTGATTGGAAGCAGATGCTGCGAGCAGGGCTTTTATGTGGCCTTTGTGCCTGCGGAAACAGCCCTGCCCCATTTGCCTACCAGTGCTTCCTGTTTGTGCTCCTGGTGAGTGGGAGGTTTTTTGAATTTGCAAGATAATCAGGATGATTTATTTCTGTTCACAGCGACTGCACAAAGGCAGCTCAGCACCTTTAATCGGCTCTTCCATGTATAGTTTTGTGATAATCGCACAATCTTCCTTTAAGCAGCCTAGAAAGGTTGCTGAGTCAGGCCAGTATGACTGCATGGAGGTATTGATTGCCTGATTGTCACTCAGAGATGACTCACCTCATTTTCCCAATCTGCTTCCGTGCTCACGCAGCCTTTCGGATCCTCCCGAGACACAGGAAGGCCTCATCTGGACTGCACATGCTTTAATGGTCCTGTCAATACACTTAAGTTGCAAATGAGCAAGGATGCTGAAACATTCATCGCAGGCATCAGTTAAATAAGTTGGCATATGGCTGTGGGGGAGGAAAATGTAATCTCCCGTCTTTCTATAAAGATTAGTAGGATGATCGGGGGGGATAGAAAGGGGAGTCTGTTTCCAAAGCAGTTTTACTGATTAGCCGCTGACCAGGAGAAAAAAAGGGTGAACCACAACGCTGCAGTTTTTCTTTGCTATGACTCAAATAACGCAAACTCCAAATGAGTGTATTTCTAAAGGGTCTATGAAGTATGAGCACCTCTTGTTTGTAGAAGCAGGAATGTACAGGTAAGAAAATGCAGGAATCCTACATGAGAAAATCTGATAGAAGTATTAGTAAATATTATAATCTCAAAGCACCTGAAGAATTATTATTACATGTGTTGTTTTATCATTAGTATTTATGCACTAACACACTGCATTGTCACAATCTAACCCTCTGCAGCATGACTCAGTTTTATAAACTGTTAAACGTCACTGTCTATGCTTCAAAAGTCATTAGAAATATGTGGTGGAAGAAATATCTAAATGAGTGCACAGCACATTGAAAGACAGTGCTTGAATTGTGTCTTGTTACTTCCCACCAGTGGTCATATGTGCATCAGAAGTAAACTGTGGAAAACACCAAGGATCTGGGCTGATTCTGTGTGATAGGCTGTAATAAAAAGCACAGGACTTTCCCTGTGGATGTAGCACTTAGAGAAAACAAGCCTTCATTGAGTGCACTCCGGCATCCTGGCATTTCTCCAGGGCAGGAAGTTCTTTTCCTGATCTTGAGTGACCCGTGCATGCCTTTCTTGGCAGATGAGGGCTGAAACATACCTCTGTGCCACAGAACTCTACGAACAGCTCACGGTTTGGCTCTGAAGGAGCCAGCGTTGTCAGAAATGCTCGAAATAATCTTGATAACTTGTATTCGGGTCGTAGACCTGCGTAGATACGAGCGATTCACTAAAATGTTGTAGTCTGGTTAATCAGGTGGGCCCAGCAAACACACTAGCCTCAAATACTCTGGTGTGGTCGCCATAAACTTTAAAATGACCCATTTTTGTTGTCTGTTATGGCTGAAGCGTGCTCTGAAAGCCAGAAACTTCAAGTCAGTGAGTAAAGATCAGATTAATCATGTCTGATCTGTACAGAAGGATCTGCCTTCTAGACCCCCACGGATTCATAGTAAGAGGCTTAGAAAGAGTCATCGAGTCCACAACAGACCACCATTCAATCAAGGCGGGCTGCTGTAATGTATCCTCCCGTATGTTTAGAAGGGATCATTACAGGTAGTGATGTTTCTAGCACCTCATGGCTCAGAATCATGGGTTCTATGTATGTGTGATTATAAATTCCCCTCTTGCACTGAGTGCTCCGATTACCACTGGGCTCACTGTTGCCTTCACCATCCACATCTCCTTGAGCTCTTCTCTCAGCTCTTGGTACTTTTCGAGCTTCTAATCGTCCTTTTTCTCTGATGTTGCTATCACTTGGTATCACCACATATACCATGACAGCTGTCTTCCTCGGCTTGTCTTCCACTTCTATGTCCAGGTGGTTAGCCATCACCACTTTGTCCATCTGGCTCTGTCATTCTTAACCACCCTAGGGGGCGTCTCCCATTTTGACCTCGGGACTTCCAGGCCATACGCAGTACAGATGTTTCTGTATACTATGCCGGCCTTTGCCTGCTAGCATCTTGCACCCTGCTGTGTTGTGCTGAATTGTCTCAGGGGCATCTTTACACAGCCTGCACCTGGGGTCTTGCTTGGTGTGATAGACCCCAGCCTCTATGGATCTTGTGCTCAGAGCTTGTTTCTGTGCTGCCGTGATTATTGCCTCTGTGCTGTCTTTCAGTCCAGCTTTGTCCAGCCATTGGAACGATTTCTGGATCTCAGTCACTGATGTATTTGACAGCACATACCGTGCATGGACGTGTCCTTACATGATGGTCCTTCTCCTTGCTCCGCTTCGGTCTCAGGTTTCTGCTGCCTTATCTATTCACTGAAAAAGTGGTCATCTTCCTCATGTCCTCATGGATGTTCGTTGTCTCGTCCTGGATGGTAGTTCTGACACTCACCAGTCCTCTGCCTCCTTTCCGCTTATCGTACAGTCACGGGCTGCTAGACTTTCATTAGTAGGCTGTGGTGTCTACAGCAGCCTGAACCGTTGATCAAAGGCAGGATGTATCCATGCATTCAACCTCTTAATGCCGATTTCTGCCCCTACCATTCAAATGCAGCAGACTCATCAGACCAGGCAACATTTTTGT